GGGGGGGGGGGGGGTTGGGGTTCCGTGGGAGGGGGTGCCCTGGGCTGAGGTGCTTTATTCCCAAGGCGGTTGCTCCGTTGCCATGAGAACGGCGCTGGGGAGGAGGGAACACAAAAGCTGGAGGAGGTGGCACTGACGGGGTGGTGGGTGCTGGGACCCCCCCGGGAAGGAGATGGGGGAACACAGGTGGGGCATCCCAAGTCCTGGGGACAAGGGACATGCCCTGGGCTTGGTCCAAAAGCCGCTGGTTGGCCCCAAAGCAGCGGGAGGACGAGGAACGGTGCTCCTTGGTCTTCCCACCTGTAGGGAAAGCTCCCCCAAAATTCCTTCCCTCAGCATTTCTGGGGCCAAATTGTCCCTTTTTGGGGCATTAACCTGTGGGGGGGGGGAGTTTGGGGGGAGGAAAGTGCCAGAAATTCTCCCAGTGAAAATCCTCTTTTTAGGATTTAATCCCTCCCCAGGGCTGGGATGGAACCACCGATGGGTGGGCAACCCAGGGCACGTCCCCGGGTCCTTTTAAAGCTTTAAGGGGTTTATTTTAGTGAGGGACGCGTTGGAAACGGGGTTCTTTCCCGCTGAAAAGGGTTCTTTCCCGATGAAAAGGGTTCTTTCCTGGTGAACCGTGCAGAGACCGGCCAGGCCGGGGCGGCTCCAGCTCCTTTCTGTCTCAAACCACCCCTTCCTTTTCCTTGGGGATTAAATTTGGGTTCGGAAAAGAAGAGTTTGGGTGGGAGGGAGCTGCAGCCCCCACCCTGCCCGGCCGCCTCCAGGAAGCCCCAAAAGTTAAAGGATATTATTAAATAATATTAAATAATGGCTCTGGGCTCCCTCCTGTAGCCCCGACACGGGGAGGATGGGCTCAGCTCGGAGATGGGAGGATTTCTCCGGGATGGGAAGGACAGGGATGGGGAGAAGCTGCTCTGGAGAGCCAGGGAATCGTGGATTGTCCCCCCTCCCACCTTTTTTGGGGGGGACAAGAAAGGCACCGGCCTGTCCTTTTTGGGGGAGAAGAAGGGGAACCAGGGTTGGAAGATCTTTGGAGATCTCCAGCTGAACAGCCCCAGGTCCCTCAGCCTTTCCCCAGCAGAGAGATGCTCCAGCCCCTCATCATCCTCCTCTGGACTGTCACCAGCAGTTACCAGTCCTTCTCGAACTGGGGAGCCCAGAACTGGTCCCAGTCTCCAGCTGGGACCTCCCCAGGGCAGAGCAGAGGTGGGGGATGTCCTCCCTCCACCCCAGGAGACCATGGGTCATGTTGGGCACAATTTGCTGGCCTGTGGGCAACCAGTTGTCCCATCAGGACTCCCAGTTCCCTCTCTCAGAGCTGGTTTCCAGCAGGTCACCCTCAACCTGTACTGGTTTGGGGGGGTGATTCCTCCCTGGGGGCAGAACCTGGTTGAACTCCATGAGGTTCTTCTCCAGCTGGTCCAGGTCCCTCTGGATGGTGGCCCAACCTTCTCCCAGCCCTGTGTGCTGCAGGGAATCTCCAGTTGAGCCAGACTGGGCCCAGTACCGGTGGAGAACCTCACTGGGGACCATTCCCGGTTATCCCAGAGATCCGGGCTTATCCCAAACCTCTCTCTCCCTCTCCACAGGCCCGTGGTGAGCCCCGGTGGCCACCTCTCCATGCGAACCAGGGCCAAATGGAGGCGGTGGCCAGCGGTGGGCTGAAGAGGAAGTGTGAGGATGCAGAGGTGGGCTCGGCCGGCTCCACCTCGGACGACGAGGTCTCCAACAGCGACAGCGCCGACAGCTGCGACAGCGTCAACCCCGCCAGCTCCACCGGCTTCATCCGTGAGTGCCCCCCCAGGGACCCCCCCAGCAACCCCAGCCCGAGACCCCCAACCATCCAGGATGGGCCACCTGGATGTGGGGCTGGCTCCACTCTCCCCCTAGATGTGGGGTTGGCTCTGTCCTCCCCTGGATGTGGCTCCATCCTCCCCTGGACATGGGGCTGGCTCTGTCCTCCCCCTGAGTGTGAGGCTGGCTCTGTCGTCCCCCTAGATGTGGGGCTGGATCCATCCTCTCCCTAGATGTGGGGCTGGCTCTGTCCTCTCCCTGGATGTGGGGCTGGCTTTGTCCTCCCCCTAGACGTGGGGCTGGCTCCACTCTTCCCCTAGATGTGGGGTTGGCTCCACTCTTCCCCTGGGTGTGGGGCTGGCTCTGTTGTCCCCTGGATGTGGGGCTGGCTTTGTCCTCCCCCTAGATATGGGGCTGGCTCTGTTGTCCCCTGCATGTGGCTCTGTCCTCCCCCTAGATGTGGGGCTGACTTTGTCCTCCCCCTAGACATGGGGCTGGCTCCACTCTTCCCCTAGATGTGGGGCTGGGTCCATCCTCCCCTAGACATGGGGCTGGCTCTGTCCCCTGGATGTGGCTCTGTCCTTCCCCTAGACGTGGGGCTGGCTCCACTCTTCCCCTAGATGTGGGGCTGGCTCTGTCCTCCCCTGGATGTGGGGCTGGCTCCGTCCTCCCCCGAGCTGTGGGGCTGGCCCCACTCTTCCTCTCCTCATCACTTACAGCCGGTTTGGGGCCGGGCAGAGATCTCATCCATCCATGGGTTTGGGTCACACCAGACCCCAGGGAATTTCAGGTATTAGTCCCCAGATGGAGTGTCCAAGGTCCACCCTGGACCTTTTCTGTCTCTCCCCCATCCTTTGCCACAGCTGAAATACTTTGGTGGCCGATGATGATGATGGTGATGATGGTGTAGGGGGTTTGGGGGTTGCTCTTGGTGGCACTGGAGGTCAGAACACAGCCCCTTGGGGACACACCCGTCACCCAAAGCCACCTCAGGGTCACCAGCCCTGGGGAGCCCGGGGGCTGAGGGTCTTGCCTCATCCCTGGAGGGGGTCAAGGCCAGGTTGGAGGGGGCTTGGAGCAACCTGGGCTGGTGGGAGGTGTCCCTGCCCAGGGCAGGGGGGTTGGAACTCGATGATCTTTAAGGTCCCTTCCAACTCTACCCATTACTGGGACCAGTTCTCTTTAACATCTTCATCAATGATCTGGACGAGGGGATGGAGTGCAACCTCAGTCAGTTCACAGGTGACACCAAGCTGGGTGGGAGTGTGGACCTGCTGGAGGGTAGAGAGGCTTTGCAGAGGGATCTGGACAGGCTGGATGGATGGGCTGAGACCAACGGGATGAGGTTCAACAAGGCCAAGTGCTGGGTCCTGCCCTTGGGTCCCACCAACCCCATGGACACTACAGGCTGGGGGCAGAGTGGCTGGAGCTGCCTGGCAGAGAAGGACCTGGGGTGTTGGTGGCCTGTGGGCTGAACAGGAGCCAGCAGTGTGCCCAGGTGGCCAAGGAGGCCACCAGCATCCTGGCCTGTATTAGGAACAGCGTGGCGAGTAGGACCCGAGAGGTGATGGTCCCCCTGGACTGGGCACTGGTGAGGCCCCACCTCGAGGGCTGTGTCCAGTTTTGCACTCCCCACCATAAAAAAAGACATTGAGGGGCTGGAGCGGGTCCAGAGAAGAGCAACAAAGCTGGTGAGGGGTCTGGAGCACAAGTCTTGTGAGAAGAGACTGAGGGAGCTGGTGGGGTTCAGCCTGGAGAAGAGGAGGCTGAGGGGAGACCTTATTGCTCTCTCCAACTCCCTGGAAGGAGGGTGTAGAGAGGTGGGGGTCGGTCTCTTCTCCCAAGTCCCAGGCGACAGGACGAGAGCCTCAAGTGGCCTCAAGTTACACCAGGGGATGTTCAGGCTGGATATTAGGACAAGTTTTTTCACCCAAAGGGTCATCAGACCTTGGGATGGGCTGCCCAGGGAGGCCTCAAGTGGCCTCAAGTTACACCAGGGGATGTTCAGGCTGGATATTAGGACAAGTTTTTTCACCCAAAGGGTCATCAGACCTTGGGATGGGCTGCCCAGGGAGGTGGTGGAGGCACCATCCCTGGAGGTGTTCAAAAGACGGGTTGATGTGCTGGGGGATAGGGTTTAGTGATGGTGTTGCTTTTTGTTTGTTGTGCGGGTGTCTATTTTGGTCAAAGTGAGGTTGAGGGTTGGCCAAGATGATCTTGAAGGTCCCTTCCACCCTAGAAGATTCTGTGATGATTCTATGGAAAGGCAGGAAGAGGAGATGGGGGGCATTTTTTAGCTCCTAAAGGGCCTGGAAAACAAATCATATAAGAGCAGCTGAAGGAGCTGGGACTGTTTAGTTGAAGGAAGAGGAGGTTGAGGGGAGACCTCATCACTCTCTACAACTCCTTGAAAGGACACCGGAGAGAGGTTGGTGCTGGTCTCTTCTCACAGGTAATTAATGACAGAAGGAGAGGGAATGGCTTCAAGCTCCAACAGGGGAGGTTTAGGCTGGACTTTTGGGAACAATTCTTCATGGAAAGAGTGGTCAGAGACTGGAAGAGGCTGCCCAGGGAGGGGGTTGGGTCACCATCCCTGGACGTGTTTAAGGGTCATTTAGATGTGGTGTTGGGGGATATGGTGTAGGGGAGGACTTTGTAGAGTAGGGGAGATGGTTGGACTCGATGATCCCAAGGGTCTCTTCCAACCTGAATGATGATTCTATGATTCTATGATTCTAAAAGCCCTTTTTTGGCTTTCTCTCCCCCCAACCCCACCTTCAGCCACCTCCATCCTGAAGCGGCAGAAGCAGCTTCGGCGAAAGAATGTCCGTTTCGACCAAGTGACCGTCTACTACTTCGCCCGGCGCCAGGGCTTCACCAGTGTCCCCAGCCAAGGGGGCAGCTCCCTGGGCATGGCACAACGCCACAACTCCGTCCGTCGCTACACCCTCTGCGAGTTCGCCCAGGAGCAGGAGGTCAACCACCGGGAGATCCTCCGGGAGCACCTCAAGGAGGAGAAACTCCACGCCAAGAAAATGAAGGTGAGGGAGAACTTGGGTGGTCC